ATGCTAGGGAATTCCTGGAAGCTTGGCATTCAGACAAATCAGCCATCAATAGACATAGAAAGAAACCAAATTTGCACATCATTCAAAAGAGACTATAAAAAAATTAAGAAGGAAACAAAAAGACCAGAACTCATCTTCTCAGCAGCCAACACCCAGTTAAGCAGGGATTAATCCAGGCAGACAATCAAGCAGAAAACAATACCCTAATCAAGGAATTACCAAGGAGAAAACCACACCCACAACACTGACAGGGCAAGCTACTGTATATAAACAGGCAGCAAACCCCACACTCACTTGCACTGATGATGTTACCTAGTTGGGTAAGGAAATGTCTGCAAGCAAACACCCAAGCTCAGAGAGCACCAAGGACTTCACAGTTCAACCCTGAGCTACATCTATTCTTTCCTATTGGAATTTTTCACTTAGGTGACATTCATTCAGAATATCCATGATATTTTCAGAAACTCATCTCTGGTTCTTCCATTATCCCCTTTCACTATAGTATAAAATGCAACTATCACTAACCTTTTGATTCCTACTTTCATGTACACCCACAATGGCACAGATGACACCAATTTATATTTTTCAATATCCATCTTAGTGCTTTCATTCATAATAAAACCTTCCTGTGTCCCCACAATACTTGATGCCCAAATAAATGAACATTCTTCTGGCTTCCTGTGAAGGTCTGATTTATACAACATTGCAGCCTAGAGTAGTATGTTGTGAAATTCAGCCACTGCAGGCTTCACATATGAAAATATACTAAGCACTCATTCCAAATGAAATGTTTGGGCTGCCTAGTTCTGAACACCAAAGTCCTACTCTTCCAGCATTTTGCTGCTAGAATGGATGGCTGTATGTTCCCGGGAAAAGAATAAGCAGAGCACTCTCTTGTTTGTCCTCTGTATTAAGTCATGTTGAGGATGATAGTGCCTTTAATACAGAAAGTAATATCAATGCACCATGAATGATCATGATTGATCTCCATTTTCTCCAATGCTGATAAAAGTTCTCCAACTGACCGCACATAGGACTTTTTAAATGCTAAAACCTGACACGATAATGAAATAATGGCTTCTCTCCAAAGTTGTATAACATATGAAGCCATCAACCTCATAATTTAATCACTGCTGGTATTATTTAGTGTCCATTACATCGGGCTCCCAAGGATTCAGGAAGAGGTTGCTCCTAATTTTTTTGGGAATGAACCTGTAGTTTGGGCTTGGGTTTAGCATTTCGAGTGAACTGAGCATTATACTTTATGCCGTAGTGATAACGGCACAAGCCAATTCTGGTTCTCCTAACAATCATGCTTAGAACAAATATATGTGTATCAATATATAAATGCTTTAACTTTGAAGCTTGGATTCTTGCCTAGATTCTAATAGTTCTCTGAATAACTTTCAGTTTTAAGTGAGTTCCATATCTGTGTATGGAAATGGGCAAATTAAATCATATTAGACTTGTTAACAATGCAAAATGTAGCTTCTGAAGACCGAGTCATGTCTTTATCTTCTGAAATGGAAACAGAGCCAAGGTGCAATTGAAGATCCATGAAATGGAAACGAAGTCCCAGAATTACCAGGTAAGGTACCAAATGGTGGCCAGTGTCTTTGGTGAAGGCCCCAAACGTCCCTTTGGATTCTGAGTTGAAGTTGCATTGCACTCTTGCAGATTGCCATAACCATCATTGAAGCCCGGCAGCTCGTTGGTGAGAACATAGATCCAGTGGTGATTATAGAAATTGGGGATGAAAAGAAGCAGACAACAGTCAAAGAAGGAACCAATGCGCCATTTTATAATGAAGTATGTAAACTGCATTGAGAGGTTTAGAAAATGCAGATGTCCTAATGGGTTTGCTTTTTGCTTTTCTTCAGTAAAATAAATAAAGGTGGTGGAAAGGCCAGTTCTGTCACCTACTGAAGGTGCACCTTGCATCAGTTTATCCCATCTTTAGGCATATTACCTATATTAGAGTGATATGGGCTTTAAGGTAGAATACATTTTAAGATATCTTGCAGATGAACCTGTAAGCTTGAGCAAGGTAAGGATCTTGTCAGAGTTTCCTAACAGTTTCACTAAACTGTGGTTCCCAGGTTTCTTCCCTTAGGAGAAGGACTCATCCTTTAATTTAGGATCCAAGTGGGAAAAAAGGAAGAAATCAATGGTTAAGATTCAAAGATGATAACACTAAAGGGAGCCTCTCAACTGGATGAGAACAGTAGTGATGGAAAAGTTGGAATTATCTTTTCCTCTATGCCATTGTTTCTCAACCTTGGCAGCTTTCAGACAGGTGGACTCCAACTCCCAGAATTGGACTCCCATGCTGGCTGGGGAATTCTGGGAGTTGAAGTCCATATATCTTAAAGTTGCCAAGGTTGAGAAACACTGCTCTATGTGATTCTCTCAAGTTATCCTTTGCTGGAAAATTTAAAGAAATGAGATCTAAAGATACCTTTTAGATTTCTCCCCACAATTATGCTTCTTAATCCTCTTATATTTACTGTTTTGTTTTTCCTTCCTCAGTATTTTCTGTTTGATTTCATTGGGCCCCAAGTTCATCTCTTTGACAAAATTATCAAAATCTCCGTAAGTATATCCATCTTGGGCAGGCAACTAATTTGTTGTTTGAAAACAAAAGGAACAATTGTGGTTGCGTAGAAGAGAGATGGCTTGTCTTTGTAAACTTTCAAAACTGACTGGACCACTTTATCCTAATACACATCTCATGCATTTTTAAATGCTGCCTCTTCATCTTAAAAAAGAGACTAATTGGAACAATCCATTTTATTCTCAAGTGTGTTTTCTATTGGGTTCCTGTGTTTTATATTACACCTTTAAATCAGCATTTAAGATTGGGCTGTCAAGGTCAGGTCCACTTTGTAGGAAATAAGAGAGATTCACAGCCAACATCCAATATTCATCTCTCTTTGTGACACTGTTGTAACTCAAATTTGTTTACAAAATCAGAAGGGGTGAAGCTTTTAAAGAATTCATTTCCTCTACTGCATTGATAGAAATATGAACAGTCACATTCCTTTTAGTGGCCCTTGCGACGTGACTTACAGAATCAGGAGTGTCTGCAGGGTGTGGTCAAAAAAAGTAAGATGGTGGCCATGGTAATGAGATCAAGCTCTGCCTGTGGTTGATGCAACGAACAGAAATGGGTGGAACTTTGATCATACCGCCATGGACATCATTGTGACTTTTTTGACCCTGTCATGCAGACGTTTCTGTACAGAATGAATTATGGTAGTAGATTAAAATGGCAAGAAAGGGAAGAATGAAGAGGAATCTGCAGGATTGAAAGCTGTCGTCAAAATGAAACAAGAGCTGAATTATATTAACAATGAACAAAATTTCAGTTTCTTCCAGTGTCTTATTTTTTTCAGATCTGTGAAATATGTTGTTCCAAATCTGATAGTTTTAAAAATGTTCATATTAAAAGATATATGCATTTTGATATATATTTCTCTAAACACATTTTATTCACAGACATTTTATATAGGGACTTTTTACAGTCATTTTTCCAAAATACAATACATTTTATACATTAATTTTTGGATTTTTGTGCAGACTTTTCCCTAATTACATTTTTTTAAAAAATTGTGAACAGCATTGCAATTTAAAAAAAAAAAGCATTTCAATTGTTTTGTTTGTACTTTCCCTGGAAAATATGAAATTAGTTAAATTCAAATTCAATTTATTTCTCACCATCCTGATCCTATAGAATGTTTAACAGATAGGCCAAGAATATTTATTCCAAGGGTAAATCACTACTCTGTTTCTTCTGCCTTTGGAAGGCTCAGGTGTTCTTTGAAGGGAACCATCTGGAGATTAGAGGACGAATGGTATTTTATTACATGAAAGTTTATATGTCAGAAATATAACCTCTCTGGGTAGAGTTGCTTTGGTGACTGAGGTAGCATAGATAGATGGATGGATGGATGGATGGATGGATGGATGGATGGGTGGG